CAAGGCTTCAAACAAGGAGAAGCTGAATCCTGTCTGTTTACAAGAATCAAGAATGGACAATACCAATATGTGCTTACTTACGTTGATGATCTGATTTTGTGCTGTCAAAACAAAGAAGAAACCAAGGAAATAGGTGATGAATTAAACAAAGATGTGGAGGTGAAACAACTGGGCGATATAAAACACTATCTTGGAATACAAATTGAGAGAATGGATGATGGAAGTTTTCTCTTGAATCAGAAACACAAAATTATGGACTTTGTTGACTCTATGGGCATAAAGAAACATGGAAACATTAACACACCAATGGAATCAGCTTACCTAGACCTGACCGATGGAAACTTACTTGAGAACAATCATGAACACAGAGAAGCAATTGGAAAGCTCTTGTACCTAAGCCGAGTTACTCGGCCAGACATCTCTACTGCAATTGGAATCTTAAGCAGAAAGACAAGTTCACCAAATAATCATGACTGGAAAGCTGTGAAAAGACTAGCCAGATATCTCATGAAAACAGCTGATCGAAAGTTATTGACTTCAGCCTCTGACGACCCAAGACTAGTTGGATACATGGACGCCAACTGGGGGAAGAAGGAAGAAGATGGAAAATCAACTAGTGGATACTTATTCTACTACGGAAATAGTGTGATTCACTGGGTCAGTAAAAAGCAACAAATTGTCGCTCAATCTACTGCTGAAGCAGAATGTGTGTCGGCTCAAGCTGCCTGCAATGAGCTAGAATGGATCATCTACATGCTAAAGGATTTTGGCATAGAAGGACCTAAGCCAATACTCATGTTTGAAGATAATGAGGCATGTATAAACATGTGCAAAGGCGAAAATACAAAGACAAGCAGCAGACACATCGCCATCAAATGTCTTTCAGTGAAAGATATGCAAAAGAAAGGACTGATTGAAGTTCAATACTGTCCTATTGAAGAAATGATCGAGGACATCTTGACCAAGCCACTCAACGCAGCCAAGATCGCAAACCTATGTAAGAAGATGAACCTCATTGATCCAAAGCAAGACTGAAATGTTAGAACTTGAAAAGGGGTGTTGGAATTGGAAGTTGCTTACACTTCAGCCATTACAGAGTTAAATGTTGTTTGTTAGGAAACAGGATGTTATGTTACATAATGTATTCAAGGGCGGGAAAATTTTGTGGGAGTTGTTTATCCTAATGAAGTGACCTGTAACCTTTGTATTGGTCAACTAACATCTCGTTTGTACAAATGCTTTGATCTAGCATTAATGTATTCACAAGTTTATGGTCCTTTGTGTGAACCAAAGAGGTAGTTCTAGAAGCCAAGAGAGACAGAAAGATGTAGCTGTTAGCATTTATTACTCAGAGTAACTGCAAGTATGTAACTTTTTATTTTATTTATTTTATCCAAAGTACCATACCCATATTTTATTTTGTTTTTATAGTAAATATATTTTTCTTTTACTAAGTGTGGCTCTTGTGTTTGCAATACAACCATCAACCCTGATTTAAGAATCCCAACAGAATGTCATTACTGGCTACTGATTCTCACATCTTGTTTGGACACAAATCCAAACAAACAGAGAGCCAGGGAGCAGCCCCCCCCCCCAGCCAGAGCCCTTAAAAACTTTTTATTTTTCCATTTTCAGCAGTTAAATGCACATTCTGAATACAATCCAAGGCCCAGAACCCAACATGTAGGTCTGCAGTACACACAGCAAAAGAAGAAAGTACACGGCCAATGTTAGCAATACTATCAAATAAACTACCCCTTTTCACACATAGAAAGAAAATATTGTCTCGTTTTCCTTATTGTTGTTATACGTTAAAAAGGGGGGGCAAGAATGCTTCCGTATTGACACAGGCTCTGCATAAAGAGTAAAGGAAAGCTATTTTTCCCCTGTGAGACTCGGAGTGCGTTTAGGGTCACCCACACCTTTAATCTGTTGTGAAATTTTAGCCGCAGTCATAACCTCCCAGATTTTGGCACCCCGCTTGAAAACGGTAGCTAATTTTTTGTTCTCCCACGCCCTAGCCTTTAAAAACATGGCTGCCACCAAAAACGAAGAAGCTTCCTGACAGTGAATTTTTAAAATCATCAGCGTACCCAGTTGTAAAGAAACTGATGACTCCATTGTCTTCTGTATATGTCGTTTTATCAAACTGCAAGAGAGTTGGGTTTTAGCACAACATGACCACTGTGCATGATAATAAAACAACCATTTTACCACATCTGGAGAACAATGTCAGCTGCTTCTGGTCCCATTAGAGAGCAAGGGTGGGGGTATAAACTGCATGAGTCATATTGGGTACAGATGTGCAGTAATCTGTCAGGTGTCAAACACCAATGTATGAAAATTTTAAATGGAATTCGTTGAGTGTTTAAAGAAGAGGAAGTGAACCGAGGGCCGGGCAAGACACATGGGTCCACTTGTCATTCCAGGTCCACGTGCCTCAGGCTTGCCATGCTTTTACCTGTGGATTCAGGAACTGTCTCCTGGTCACGAGGAGGCCAGGCCAGGCATGGGAACTGGGACAGAGAAGCAGGCAGCCTATGAGCCTCTGTGGGGTTCATGAGAGGGACTCCGTGGAGCCGAATAGGCTTTGTACAAAGCTGAAGAACTGGCTGGAGTCGACCAATGAATGACTCACATGGCTCTTGCTGGAAAAAGAATATTTTCTGCTAGCACATCTTACAGGAACACACCTTGGACATCCAAGGATGGGGCTTCTTCTCACCTGAAAAACAAAAATATGCATTGCACATTTCATCATATCTGGCCTTCTGATCACTGTTGCATCTTTTTAAAATGTGTCATCCAATAAACAGTCTTAAATTAGCTCTTGGAAGAGATCAGGACCCTGCAAGACCTTTTACAGTTCTGCAGGGCCTGAAAGACGGAGCTCTTCCACCAGGCCTTCAATCAAGGAGCTGCATCAAACATCTGAGGAGTGACCCTGTGCCCTGGCATTACCATCCATAGCCTATGCCCACCGCACAAATAAGCTGAAAGTTGAGCTGGTTGAGAATACCAACATGATTGTACTCAAATGTTCCCTCTAAGCTGAGTTAGTGTGAGCTAGCTCACAGTTTTTTAGCCTCCAGCTCACACATTTTTGTCTTAGCTCAGGGAGGATGGCTCCAGAGCAAACCAATTTATGCAGTAGCCAAATTTTTCGCTCACAACTTTAATGCCAGTAGCTCACAAAGTAGAATTTTGCTCACAAGACTACACAGCTTAGAGGAAGCATTGACAGCACTGTTATTCGGAAACCTACTGTTGTAGCACTTTATTAGATCATTGTTCCAGCCAGTTTGGTGTAGTGGTTAAGTGTGTAGACTCTAATCTGGGAGAACAGGGTTTGATTCCCCACTCCTCCACTTGCACCTGGGCTGGATGACCTTGGGCAAGCCATAGTTCTGGCACAGCTGTTCTTGAAAAAGAGCGGTTTCTGTTAAGAGCTCTCTCAGCCCCACCTACCTCACAGGGTGTCTTCTGTTGTGGGGAGGGGAAGGGAAAGGAGTTTGTAAGCCGCTCTGAGACTCCCTTGGTGGGGAGGGCGGGGTATAAATCCAATAAGTAAAAGTTTGCAGTGGAATTGTAGATGTTACAGAATTGTGGGCCTTCCATGAGCGCTAATTTGTTGAGGTCAATAATATTAGTATACGCCACCAACTGCTACCCACTAAATAACACATCTCTTACGTGCAGCTAACTGGGACAGCCCCAGAAAAACCTTGCTTGCAAAGAAAGAGGGAGGCCTGCTTTCTGTTCTGTAGGTCATGGCCAGAAATTAGGTCATTCAAAGAGGCAAAAGACTCCAGAAGGCACCCGGGCACAGGAGGGTGGAAGGGCGCAGGAATGGACAGGGTTTCAGTGCATTACCCATGCTGTGTCAGCTCATGTGCAGACTCTATGGCTTTCACAGATGGAAATGCACATCTCATAACATTCCAACAAGTTCGTGTTATTCTGTTTGAATAACTGTTATCATCAGCTTGGGGAGAAATCATGTCCCCCCCACCCCAGTTGTATCTTTTCTATACCGAAAAGTCCCAGAGACTCTTCAGCCTTCTTCTCCTAGGGAAGGTGCCCCAAATAATCTTGGTCGTCCTCCTCTGTGCATTTCCCAGCTCTGCAATGTCGTTTTTAAAGATACAGTGACCGGAACTGTACGCAGTATTCCAAGTGAGGCCGCACCATAGGTCTATACAGGGGCATTACAATATCACCTGTTTTATGCTCAATCCCTTTCCTAACAATCCCTAACATCGAGTTCGCCTTTTTCGCCGCTGCAGCACACGGGGCTGGCACTTTCATGGAGCTGTCTGCCATGATGACCCCAAGATCTCCCCCCCCCCTCAGTCTCAGCAAGTTCCGACCCGATTGGCCCATACCTGAAGCTGGGGTTTTATTTGTCCCACTGTGCATCACCATCCTGGACCGTGTCTTAATGTCCCTGCACGGAATCTCGCCCTCCCAAGCAGCAATCAATCATTCATGGCTCTGACTCTTTATTGCCAGTCCCCAAACTGCCCCGCCCCGCAAGGTTAGCAGCTGTGTCAGGACAAGCTCTACAGACTGGATGTGACAAGGGACTAGTAGGTTTTCCAGCCAGTTGATAGGGAGAGGAGACAAGAGCCCTAAATGCAGTAACGAAATCCAGTATCCCAATGAAGCCGTTTCTGTCTCTCTTGCTCTGAGCTGATTTTCGACCCATGACCTGGGGTCACGTTAGAGTCCTAGCCGGCCCTCTTTGCTCTTCACACTTGCCTGGCCATTTACGCCTGTCCACGGATCAATATGAGCAATTCTTGGAGAAATGCAATGTTGCCATGACAACCGGGCCACAAATTCTCAGTGGGAAGCTGGGCGGCCAGGCAAGGGCTCTCTGGAGATTTCCCAGTCTATAAAGAGTGAACGGATATGGAGGGAAAGCCAGAGGGATTCCTTGTTTGCTGCAAAGGTAATGATGGCAGCACAGACAGATGCTGCTCGGCTCAGATTTCAAGCTTTGAGGACCTATCCATAAGTGTTTTCCCCAGCACCTTCTTGCTGCTTTTGTGCATTCAAAGCCTCCCTGAAATGCCTTTGGATGCATTCTGACGGCGCCAAGAGGGTGTCTTGGGTCCCCAGGCCAATGTCAGACAAGGGGGGACGCTTGGCTCCAGCTCCGCTCTTCCTCTTTGCTTCAGTCCGGTAGAGACCACAAGAGAGATCGCATGCACTCTTCTCCAGAGGGAACCAGACAATGTGAAGCGGGAAAATGAATCTGCAGCACAGCTGGCCGACCGTTCGTCTCTGGTCTGGTGCATAAGCCGGGGGAAACTGGCAGGCTCCAGGAGCAGCCTGGTGCTCCCCACTCACGTGTTCGGCACCCAGCGCGGCTGTGCCACCGTTACCAGGCCACGAGGGGCACAGCACAGCCGAGAGGCGGTGAAGGACAGAGCCGTTCCTTGCTTCCTTCGGAGCCCTGCACTCTGAAATCCAGTCGTGCAGCAGCCACCGGCCTGGCCGGGCCCTGAGAGGGCTCTGGGGAACTGCCACAGATGCTGGGCCACACCCTTTCCCTGGAAATTAAGTCTCGGCCGTGCTCTCCAGGGAAGGATCAAGGATGCTCGGCAGCTGCAGCCCTTGTCAGGACGGGCTGCCGGACTTGGGGAGCTCTTAACTCAGCCGACAGGCCACAGAGGGGAGGGATCAAAGCGATGATGTGCAGCACTGTTCAGCTCACAGAGGGAAGAAGGAATGACCAGGTGCCGGGCCATTTACAGTCCTGGCTCACTTTTAAACAGAAGAGGCATCCAATGGTGTCAGTGAGGGGCAAATGCATTCTACAGGGGTCCTTGGGGAGCTCGCACGGATCTCCCTCCACCGTGGGGTATTAACACATTCCCCAAAACACCGCTGACCACAACGACTGGAGACAAGCCCATCAGATCTCCCCCCTGCGAAGCCTCCTGCCCCCCGGCCTCTGCAGCACCCCGCTCTCCCCTCAAGGGGCTCAGCCGACTCTGTACAGGGGGCCTTCTCTGCGCCCGCCTGCTCTCGCTCCGCCTGGGGGTGGGAATGGGCATGAAAGGAGCCCCCCCCCACCAGGGACTGACCTCCCCCCCCCCGAGAAAAGTCCGCAGTGCTGACCTCGGTTATCCGTCCCTTCCAAGATGTTCTGATCGTCAGACGTCTCCTCTCCTCCTGGGGAGATCTCAGGGGACAAAGAGCTGTCATGCTGGACCCCGGGGGTGGCAGCTAGAAAGAAACCCACACCCGTTACTCATGAGTAATTTTCCATTCCTTTTCTATACACACAGCATCCTTTCCCCCTCTGGACTGTTATCCATCCTGATTCCACTGGCCTTGGAGGGCTACAGAGAATTTGAACATACAGAACAGAACCCATATCGAAACTGGAGCAGAAGATGGGAAATGCTGAGCCCCTCCACTTCCTGCGCCTGGTGCTCTTGTTCTTCTGCCTGGGGTGGGAATGGGAGGAAAGGAGCGCGCGCACACACACACACACACACACACACACACACACACACACACACCCTCACAGCCAGCCACCTGGTGTTGTCCCCCTTGAGTTTTCAGCACCAGGAGGAGGAGGAGGAGGAGGAGGAGATTGGATTTATACCCTCTGCCCCTTCACTACCCAAAGGAGTCTCAGAGCAGCTTACAGTCCCCTTTCCCTCCCCCCTCCCCAGGACAGACACCACCTGTGAGGTCGGTGGGGCTGAGAGAGCTCTGACAGAAACTGTCCTTGAGACAGCTCTGACAGAACTACGGCTTGGCTTGCCCAAGGTCATCCAGCAGGTGCAAGTGGAGGAGGAGTGGGGAACCAAACCCGGTTCTCCCAGATTAGAGAACCCCTACACCAAACTGGCTCCAGGGACAGGAGGTCCTGTTTACCTGGCATTTTTTGCTTAATATGATTATTTTGTGTGTGGGGTGGGGGGAAGGGAGGTTCCCCATTGCAGCTGTCCTCTTTCAGCAGCATCTTTGGCCGGCTTGCAGGGGGAAGAGTAGATCCATTCTGTTTGATGGGTAATACTGCTGCCTCCGCAATTAGCTGCCCGTTAAATTTCTGGGAGGAAAGCAAATGTGTTGAGACCAAGGAGCCTTCTTCTTCCACGCTGGCAGAGGCCACCGATTGTGCCGCAAGCGCCAGAGTCCCAGCAGGGCCCAAACCGCGGCAGGGCTCCCTTGTGGCCCTTTGTGCCCAGTGTGCGGGGAGTGGGGGAGCGGGCTCGCTTTCTGAGCGTGCTTTGAATGGCATCCTGGAAGCACTTGGGGGGGGGACAGCCCTTCCTCCGAGGGGGGGGGCTGGCTGGCTGCTGGGCTTGAGCATGTGCTGCCTGTGCAGGGGGAGCAGGGCCAGGCGGGGCCAGGGCTGCCCAGGGGTGATGATCGCAGCACTGGGGCGAGCAGGAAGGGTGTCTCTCACTCACACGCGTGTCTAACCCGTAGTGCATATGGGAGGTGTAATGAAATTACTGCAATTAAAGGAGGCAGCAAGGATTTAAAACCACCAGAGGAGCCCACAGAGTGACCCAAAGGCACAGCAGAGTCCCCGCTGAGCCAGCTGAAAGCAGAAGCTCAGGCGCCTCGGTGCCAACTCTGGAGGCCCAAAGTGTTCCGGGAGTGTTCCAGACACGTGGCGCCACAGCGGAGGAGGCCTCGGTCCGGCTCACGGCTGCCTCGCCTCCAGAAGGAGCACTTCCAAAGAGGGCCACAACAACCGGGCCACTCTTCCCCTCGTGAGCATAAAGGGATGGAAGGCACTGGCTGAGAAAACGAGGCCCCCGCCCTGCCAACGCTGCGCTGCAGTCCGCCCCACCCCCCACCCCTTGTGATGCATGGCGGGCATTTATCATGTCGCCCAGACAAGGTATTGAGCTGTCTGTGAAAAGCAGGAAGGGCTCCGCACACAGAAGGTAGCCGCTGAGGCCCTTGATTGATGGCGTGAGATGGGGCAGAGAGCTGCCTGACCGGCCTCTCTGTGAAATGAAGTGGAGGAGCCCAAGGTCTTCCGTGACACGGCCTCTGCCAGAGCAACAGCCGCTTTATTACCGCCACCCAGAGAAAGGTGGGCCCCGGTGGACTTCTCCAGCTACCCGCTGCGCTGAACTGCAGAGGATGGCTGGCCCGCAGATGGGCCCGTCCGTAACAGCAGCTGTCAAAGGCAGGTCTGCCAAAGGAACAGGATGGCGGGAGGGTTCGAGGAGGAGGTGCCAGAAACAAGAGCTCCACCCTGGCGGCTGCTGCTGCACCCAAGACCCTCCTCCCGAGACCCACGTGGTGCTGCTGCTGGCTGTTCGGAAACCAGGGCCTTGGCTTGGCCTTAAAGTGACTTTCAAAGAGGACCTTGTACTCAAATGGTGCCAGAAGGAGGTCAACACAAGGGGGATGAATTCCACAGGATAACTGAAAAGCATTTCACTCATTCTAAAAGGAAAAAAAGGATTTTATGGGAGTTTTTTTCAGTACTCCCCAAAACTTGTCAAACAAAAAAAGAGAGAGAGAAAAAAAGAGCCCCCCGGGAAAAAAGTGAAAATCGCCCCCCCCCCGGCCTTCACATCTCTACGCAAGACCAGCTTTTAAAATGTTAGAAGCTGTGCATTGGCACTGAGAACTTATGGTTTCCTTACATGGTCTGAATGAGAGCCCTGCACAATCTTATCCTTGGTGATCCTTTGGACAGATGAGGCTGGTACGGCGCCTGCACAATTGGATTTTGTGTAAAAATACACAACAAATCTGATTTCTGCTGCATTAAGGAGTCCTCTGGTAAAACACACGGACAGAAGAATGAAGCAAGGGGCAGTTCCACAGAGCCTTCCCGTTTGCTTCCTTCACTACTTGACCACTAATATTAGAGAATATTGGATCAAGGCAGAGCTTTAAGTGAATGCCGACAAGACGAGCTACTGCGGGGGTTAGATAGCAAGACACAAAATTGAGTTGCATCCCTTTACAGGAAAGAGATGTAATGTGAAGCGTGAGAGCACCACGGTGTCACGCCGATGCCTATTCTGCAGGAGAGCTGGCCAAGCCAGGCAAGGGGGCCTCCCTCCAGACGGTGCAGCATATTTAGCCAGCCGGTCAAAAGGAGCTGACAGACCTCCCCCTCCCCTTGATCTGGAATCATGAAGTGATGCTCCACAAGGTACCTTTGAGACCTTCACTGACACTCAAACATATTCATGCCAGACTGGTCTGGAGGAAAGCAGAATTTACAGGGTTTGTTGGAAAGGCTGGAGGAGGAGGAGGAGGAGGAGGAGGAGGGAGGAGGCTGGGCTACATCATCCTCCAGGAGAGAGAGCCCAGCTTTACCTCCTGCTGAGACTTAGTTTTCCTGATGTGGTGACCTAAATCTGACTTGTGGGAACAATGAACAGTTGAGCATTCACTTCTTCCCATGCCCATGTACCAGAGATCCCCCCCCCACAAGCTGCTGTCTACAACTGTGCTTGTGAAGGTGGCATCTTTTTAAGAGTGGAATTCCCAAAATTCACCTGCTACCTTGCATGGTGTCTTACTAGCACTAAGAAAGGCCAATGCTACCCCTTCGGGAATGTTGTAGCCATGTCCAGATTGGCAGCAGGATCTCTGAAATGTAAAGCCAGTTTCTCCCCAAACGATCTGAAACCGAAACACACAGAGGCTACAAACCTGTCATGTTTACTTAGTGGTAAATCCTAGTGAAAAAATTCTGTGTGTGTGTGTGGGGGGAGCTTAATCCAACAGAAATGCTTGCAATCTGAGTTGCAGCTTGCATTGACTTCCTTCCAAGTAAATCTGTGTAGGAGTGATGTGAGGCAGAGCAAAAGGAGGTGAGAATCCAGTGTAAACAAAAGATAGCAACACACAAATCTTCCATTCTGGCACCATTACAACAATCTTGCTAAGAGGTGTCAGTGTTCTTTATGTCTAAAAAAGGGACCTCTTTTAGATTCCTGGAACGAGCACAAGCCGGTAACCAATTTTCCTGACAGACACATCCACACCATGAGATTATAAATTAGCTATCACAGAGAAGGCTCACTAAGAAGATTGAATGTAAACTTCAGGTCACTTAATTTTAAGGCTCAGCTAATGGGCTAAAGAAAATTGGATATGACTTTGTAACATAAATTCAGAACCAGACTTTCCTGCCCATAAACATGAGCACCATTAAAAGTTACAGCAACTCGCTCTGTTGTAAAATGAAATGATCTAACTATAAAACCCATTTCCACTATGTGGATTTTTCTACCGCCAAAGCATAAAGACTCCACATTTCGTGACATGAAGTTATAAAATGGGACCAATAACGTTTCTAGTGGAAATGTGATCTCATTGAAAAAATATAAACCTGAGGACACTGGCTCATTTCCATATGATTTGTAGTTCACTGACGTTACCTATGAAGCGACATGCATCAACTGTTTCCAATATGACCCTGACATCTAATAAAGAATGAAATCCTGGAACCATTTTGAACACCTGCAAAGCAATATCCCCTGTGTTCATCACTTGAGGAGGGAGATAATCAACAGCGGGCCCCAAGGGATGACTGCAGGAAGCAGCAGCAGCAGCAGCAGCAGGCTACTGCCCACCCACCCCCCACCCCCCACCCTGGGTTCACCTCTGCAATAACGCAGGAGGCAGGCAGGGCCTCCTTCCTTCCTCTGTGCAAAGGCCAAGCAAGTGCTGAGAGAGGGGGGGGGAGAGAGAGAGGGAGGGGGGGGGGGGAGAGGGAGAGAGGGGGAGAGCGTTTACCTAGCAAGGGACAGCTCTTGGGCCCTTCTGGCAGCTCAGGGTTGGGCTCCTCCTTGCTTGCCTTTGCCAAAGAGGCCGGCCCTGGCCCATGACCATTGGCTAACGTAGTCTGCAGGTTTTTTGTACTCCTCTGAACTTCGGCCAGCAGCACAGCTTGCATGGCCTCAACGACCTGTCAGATTGAGACTATATTAGTGAGACTGGTGGACTGCTGGTGGTGGAGAGGTTAACCAGACCTCTAGTACCACCAAACCCTGCTTCTTGGCAGGCTAAGGCCATTTACATTAAAAGCATCACGTAGAACACAAAAGGAAAAATATGCATTAAAACCTCTGGGTGGGAAGAACAGAAAACATGTTAATGGATAATAAATAAAAACAAACAAGACCCTGGACACTCCACCCCTGGAGTCAGGTGCAGGAGTTCCTGCTCAGCATCACGAGGAACCCCTGCACCTCTGTCTCAGCCCCAGCAGACAGAGAGAGAGAGGCCGGCAGGCTGCTGCTGGCACGATGGGTGGGTAGGGGCTCCAGAGTGTGATGGGGCACCCACCCAGGGGTGCCAGGGGGCCACGCTCTGCCCTCAGGGCTCTGAAGAAGGGCAAAGGGGCAGCAAGACTAAATCTCCCTCCTTCCCTTGAACTGCACCAAGAGCCCCACTCCCTCCACTCCGCTCCTGTGGAGGGCAATCAAAGCAGAGACGCTGGCCACCTGGCCCACCACGCCTCCTTGAGTGCTGGTCAGTGGGAGACACCACGCTGCTCTCTCCCCCCCCCCGTCACCCAGAGGGCTGGGAAGGCCCAAAGGGCTTGCTCAGCATTCAGTCCTGCGGCCCTCCTCCCTGGACAGTCCCTCAGTCACAAGGGGGGGAGGGGAGGGGGCTCACTTCTGGGAGGGGGGGCTGGCTGTCCGCGTCTTCCCAGTGAAGCCTGGCCAGGGCTGTGCAGTGCCGGGGGGGGGGACGGGACGGGGGCAGGCCACTGCACAGCAAACAGCCCTTCTCCCTCAGGACATCACAGTGACCGGGTTCCAAATGGAACTGAAAAGTGTCCGTTCCCTACCTCAATGGATTGGTCTCTCCAGCAAGAAATAAGTTTTACAAGAGAAATATTCTCCGCATCACGGGCAGGAAATCCAAAGGTGCCTGGAAATATACAAAGCGGGCTGGGTGAGAAAGCCGGTCGGTCGTCCAGAGGTGGGGGCGGGGAAGGGTTCAACGGGGCCAGGCAGCACACAAGGCACCTGCAACGAGAGGACGCACCCCTGTGTGTGTGTGTGTGTGTGTGTGTGTGTGTGGGCGCCAGTCAACCATCCTAGTGCTGCTGAGCAGCACACTGGGAGGTCTGCAAGCAATCCACATCTCACACTTCTTGTCATCCAGTTTAATCCATCCCACCCAACTCAAGCATCGGGGCACCTGCAAAGTCCTTGGGTGGGGGTGGGGTAGTTGCCACTTGTGCTTCCCCAGGCATGTGGGGGGCTAATTCTGGTGAGGACCGCTGTGTCATGGGCAAGGGGTTCAGCCACCCCTCCCCGTCCATCTTTCTGACCTGAGCACTGGGGAGCTTCTGCTCCCAAACAGGCCGTTTGTGTTTTCAGCCTGAGAATCTTCGACCTGAGAGATTCCCGTTCCGTGCAGCTTAAGTAAATTGGTTCACTTTTTTGGGATTCAGGACGTCACCACGTTGCATGAACAAAGGTGTATTAACCACTCAAAGGTCAAATTGCCATGGTGAGCTAAGGGGGAAATAAAATCCTGGCTCAAACACTGGCCATTTAGACAGTTGTCAGAAGAAGCATAAGAGACCTGTTTCAGTTTCCAAATCTCTTTTCCAAAGTGTTTGGTCAAGAGCAGACTAGAGCAAAGAGCAGGTAAACTCTTTATCCCAGTAAAAATAACAAGTCACTCATCTCTTTTCAAAGGAACTTCCAGCTGAACATGAAATCCACACAAGAAATACATTTGAGCTCACATATATAATAGGAATCACACTGCAGCTGGTGATGATGAGCTTGCACACCTGGGACCCCCCCCCATGCATGCATGCATGCGTGATCTGTGATCACTATGAGGACTTTGCATCATGTGAATCAGCCCTCAGGACTTCTACGGTCTTTCCTTTCCAGACCAACAAAGTTTAATTCTGGGTGCACATAAATCCTTCTGCCCAGAATTAAACTTTGTTGGTCTTCAAGGTGCCCCTCTGGACTCAGACTTTGTCCTAACATTTATTCCTGTGTGGGCTTTCGTGAGAGAGAGCTCACTTCTTCAGGTACAACACCATGCAGTTAGTCTCCAAGGGGCCACTGGACTCCCATTTTGCTTTCAGGGGAAAAACAAACCACCACACATTTTTGTTTTCTCCCTTCTTTTCCGCAAGCGGTGGCAGGGAACAGCCTAGAGGGTTAGCTGTGTGATTGCCTCAGGAAAGACCTCTTGAGAGGCAACATGCTGTTTACACAGCTGTGTGATTATCCCCTTACAAGGGGGGGGGGGTTAGTTCCTCCATCCAATCTACAGCCAGCAAATTAAAGGTTGTGGTGGCTAGTAAAGGACCCTCCTGAAATGCAGGCTTGGCGTCCCCCCAGGCGTCTCTCCTCTCCTGCCAGGCTGGACTGGGGGCTGACCACCACCCTGCTTGGCTCGTGAGATCAGGCTGGCCTGTGGGCTGTCCGGATCAGGCTGGACCTCCCTTCCCGAGGGCACCGGGAAACAAGCCCGCCACGTGCCTCTGCCTGCCTGCCCACCGCCCTGCTGTGTCTCCTGGTGGTACTCACCCTCAGAGGACTCCTCATGGCAGCCGGTGGTCCCAGCAGACGGGGTAGCTCTCCACTTGGTGCGGACCGACTCCACTTTCTGTGTGCTGGACAGAAGTGGGATCAGCGATTACTTCAGGCGGCAGAGGACCCACTTCTCTATCAGACAAGCAAGGAAGCTGCAGCCTGGCAGCCCCATCAGCCCCTCCCACCCGCCCAGGCTCAGCTCTTGGTCCACAGTGGTTGGAGAAGACAGTGGGCCAAAAAGACGCCTGAACAATGACACAGCAAGTGGCGACCCTTTAGGGGAAGGACTCCAGAGCATCACAGATGGCCTCCAAAGCAACTCCTTCTGGCTCTGGCAGCCACGCTGTGCACGGACAGCCAGAGTGGTTTCCAGAGGCAGCCGGGCCAGGTAGGTGCCTCCTTTCCCAGCCCCGCTGGAGAGCAACAGGAGAGGGCCTTCCCACCCACCACTGTGGCCAGAGCGGCGTCAGAGGCCTGCCTCGCCTCTCCCCCTCTGCTCCAGGACGCGTGGTGACGGAGAGGAGGGAGCTGGCTGCTCTCCAGTGGTGCCCAGTTCCCGTGTGAGGTCTGATGGGCCTCTGCTCCCGGGAGACGGGGGCACAGAGGCTCTCCTTTGCAGAGCACTTGGCCTGCACTTCTGGGCAAGACAACCAGCGGCGCCACTGGTGGTGGTGTGGGCGGCGGCGGCGGGGGAAATGGGCTGGTGCTCCACCCACTTCAAAGTTGGCCCAGTGGGCAAGCGAGCATATTTGGCCGGCCTCGTCGTTCCCAGGCGCAGCGACTGGAAAGTCAGCCTTGCAACGGTGGCCTGAGCGGTGTCTGGTGAAAAGGGCTTCGGCCCTGCAGAGTCAGGCCTGGAAATGTGAACTGGGCTACTGTAAAGAGCTCTCTGAGGGGCTACCCCTGGTGGCTGTTCAACGGTCGGCTCCTCTTTTGTACCATCATGACTGTTCTACAAGGTGCTGAAGCTGATGCCAGCGAGGCCGGCCTCACACTTCTACAGGGGTCGGCTGGGGACCTGTCACACAGCCAGATGAAAGCCCTTCTGGCTCCTCGGAAGGAAGAGGAGGGCTTGAACAGAGCAAGCACCAGGGGAAATTGTTATTCCCATCAATGCAGCAGATAATGAGCCCGATATTAAATCCTTCCAGAGTTGATGTTCCGTGGGTTGGAAGCAGTGACAGCTGGCAAGAACGCGAGTGGCCACCATTGTTCGCCCGAGTCAGGTGCCAGCAAAGCCTTTCTGCTGCTGACTCGGGCCAGGCCGGACAGTCTTTATGCGGGCTCATGAGTGGGCACAGGCCAGGCATTACAAAGGGAGGAGCATTTCCGTCTCTGCGGACGTGCTGTAGCAGGCTTCAGCAGAAAGCAGCCCCCTTTCCTCACGGAGACTGATGGAACGCAGACGTTTGACAAAGTGTGTCTACTTTCTCACAAAAGCTTCTGCCACCTGAACTTCAGCAGTCCAAAGATTACAGTGCCCTGGCAGGCAGGCCAATTGTTGCTTTGGCCGCAGGGTGGGGGGCACTGGAGTGGCCAAGCACCCTGAGAGCCTGCGGGGACCGCCCCGACCTCCAGACGTCCTGTGACAGGCAGGCCAAAGAATGTGGGTCCCACCCACCGTTTGCCTCCTCGCAGGTTGAGGAGAAAGCCCCGGGAAGGGAAAATGCTTACCTGCTCTTGTCCAAAGGCATGCTAATTATCCTCTTGACTAAACAGATCCTGTTCAGTAAAGAGACGAGAGTTGGGGGTCCCTCCGGGGGCCCGCTATTTTTTGTACGTCCATTGGGCTTTCCTGGGGGTTCCTGGGCCGCACTCAGGTACTTGTTCCGCAAATCCAGCACTTTGCTGGAAAACACACTGACTGACTGGCTGTGCTGGTCCCACGGAGGAGAATTCGTGTGGCTCCATCCTGGCAACATCAGAGAGAGGCAATGTTCTTTGGAGACTAGTCCAAAGGAGACTGGCCAGAGAAGCCTTGGAATGCCTAAATGCTGGACGCAGAGGATGTCAGTCTCCCTGTCCACCCCCCAAGGCAAGAGGCACGCCAGGAGGAGCTTGGCTGTGTCCGTGGCAACACTGATGCTGACTCTCCCCGAGGGCTGGTGCCTCCTCTTTTTGGAGCTCTTGGCCTTCTTCTGTCGCTTGAGGCCTCCACCTTGTTCCAAACATCCAGCCGCAGGGACGTCCCCAAAGTCCTGCTCCTCTCCGGGGCCATCGGGCGGGGAGAGAGCGCCGGTGGTCTTGTTTCTCCTCAACAGGAGCGTCCCTTTCTCGGCTGTGCTTTTGACCCGCTCCAGAGCATCGCAGCTGTGGAGGGAGTTTGAGGACTTCAGCCCATTGAGCTGAGATGAGCGCAGCAGTTCTGTGAGACTTTCCAGATCAAAGAGAAGGATGTGGAAATTTCTATTCTCCCACTTTGTCTTAATGGGCAAGATGGTAAAAGGCCACTGGGCACGGCAGACCGAGGAGAGCTGAAAACATCAACAACAACAACAACGGCACTACATTAAGAACAGAACCCCAAGGCATTGGGTGCATCCCCTCTGGGCACCCCAGGAGCTGTCCCCTCTCCAGGAATATGCTATTTTCCCATCTCTGCCCCCGACTCTGCATCGCTGCTCCAGTTGCTGAAATTAACGAGGCTTAGAAGGGGAAGCAGCACGCTGAGGGGGACCAGAGAGGGGCTGTGGCTCCGGGAGGTTCATGACCCTGGCTCCACACACCGCCCCCCAGCAGCACCGCCTCTGCTAACAGGATCAGGCCGGAGGTGGGGGGGGGAAGGGACTTTGCTTGCGGCCCTGGAGAGGAGACCACGCTGACCTTGGGGGGGCAGGGGCCTTACGTGGCACCAGAGGCAGCTTCACCTGCTCACGGGAGGTGATGTTAAGTGTCCATGTGAAACCGGCATTTATGGATGAGCGCTGCACCTCCAAATGGGCTCTGTGGTTGCAGCCAGTGTTCCCTCTAAGCTGAGTTAGTGTGAGCTAGCTCACAGTCTTTCAGCCTCCAGCTCACAGATTTTTGGTCTTCGCTCAGGAAGGAGGGCTCCTGAGCTAGCTAATTTATGCAGTAGCCAAATGGCTCACTCACAACTTTAATGCCAGTAGGTCACAAAGTAGAACTTTTGCTCACAAGACTCCACAACTTAGAGGCAGCATTGGTTGCAGCTGCTATGAGAAGGTGTTGAGAACCACACCTTTACCCATGAGCGGAATGATAGATGGGCACGAAACAAAGGCAAAATCCTTGCACTGCAGTTTGGCAATGATGACAATTTGGGGTGCTGAACAGGAGCGGGGGAGTCTCTTTAGCTCTGTTCTAGTCCTGCCTGCTTCACTCACTCACTGTTTCATAATTTTGACTAAGCCCTTCTGCAAATCCAGCCAGCCTCCTGTAGACAAGGAAAGAAGAGCCCCAGTAAGAACTCAGCAGAGATAGGAGGCTGAATCCCCTATTTGGGGAGGAGGGTCACCCTCCCCTCTCCCTCACCCCAAGTACATCAATACGTGCTATTAACCTTAACCGGTCTAAGTCAGACACGCGGCACAAACATTTGATGGAAAGTGCAATTGAATTGCTATTTTACCAGGCGACCTTTCCATCTCCAAAGGCTCCACCGCTGGGATTCACCTGCTTCAAGAAACTCTTCCTTGCCCATTAGGAAGCGGAGGAGCGTCTGAATTCCTCCTCATGCAGAGGCATTCCAGGGAGGGATTAGTGCTGAGCAGAGGGGTGGCCGGGCGGGGGTGGGTGGGGTGGGGTGGAGGGGGGAGTGACTACCAAAGCTTTCACTTTCCGCAAGGGAACAAAGAAATGGAATTGTGCAGTGGATTTACACAGGAAAACCCCATTAGAGGGAGAGGTCACCACACCCGCCTCCCTCTCTAAATAAAGGACTGGATTCCCAGTGGCACTGGCGTGGCTATTTATACCTGTGGAAGGAGAGCGGAGAGCTACCCTTTACCCCCCCCCTCTCCCGGCCAAGCCCAGGGGTGAGAAACTGCTGCCGACAAAGGCAGAGGCAGCCCAGAGAAGAGCTCGGAGGACCAGCTGAGGCGCAGGGGTTTTGCTGCAGTCCTCCACAGCACTGCCCAGTTCTAGCCTTGTGGGCGTCCTCTGCCTTTCCTGTCGCCCTCCAGGGGACCTCTCCTTCTGCCAGAGTGACTGGCCCACAAGGCCTGGGGCTTCTCTGGCCAGCGCAAGGGAGGGAATCTGTGGGGCAGCACAGGCCGCTTGTGGTGGGCACCTTCCCAGCCCCGTCTGCCGATGCCTCCCAAGGCTGCCAGAGCACTTCTCTGGCCCCTCTTCCTCCCCCCCCCCAGCATTGCCGCGTGCTGACCTCTAGCCGCGTTCCCAAGACGGCAGCACGCTCTGCTAGTGGCAGCTCCGGTTCTTTCTCGGAAGAGTGGACGGGGCAGGGCGAGAGGTAGACACAAAGGAAGAGGAGACAGCCACTCTCTGCCCCAGAGGGCTTCCCCGGAAACAGGCACCCTGAGGAAGTGGCTTGGAGAGTTGTGCAGATTGCAAAGGGGAAATTCTCTGCCCGTCCAGGGCTGGCGGAGGCAAGCATTTCCCCTTGACGTACCTGCCTGGTACGTGTGGAGAGCCCAAAGTGCAGGAGCAGGCCTGCTTTTGACCCCCCCCCCCGCACAGGCAGTCCAGAAACAGGAAGAGAGGCATGGGGCAGGGGTCCCGTTGTGGCCCGGATGGTGCACAGGGGAGGAGGAGGGGGAGGGGGAGGGAGGAGGAGGAGGTGGGAGGCTGGTGCCGGGCAGCTGGCTGTCCTAGGAGGACCCAGTAGGAAACTCCGCTCTGCCTTTTCAAGCTTGGAATGAGGAGGCCTGGAAAGAAGTCTTGCCCATACAGCCGCCTTGAAGAAGCCTTCTTGGGACAGACCACAGAAGGTGGCGCTTAGGACTTAGACCCCGGCTCTTCATTTCGAAACCCTCTCACACACACACACACCCGCCCCACCGGCCCCGGGCTCGCTGTGTGCTTGGCAGCCGGGTGATTGGCAGCACAAATAGAAGGCAAACGAGAAAGCCCTCAATTGCAGCTGAGGCACAGGGAAGAGGCCCGGGGAGCGGAGCCGAAACATTATCCAGATAATAGCAGAGGCAATCTTCGGAGAGCACCACGCCTCTCCGAGAGCAGCAGCAGCCCCCCCCCTTTCTCTCTCTCCTCGCTGTAAAGTGGAAGAGCACCTTTTTGCTCTCTCCAGCCACGGCAGGGGTAAAGCAGCAGAGTGTGTGAAACTCACGGACTGGGAATAAATTACTATATTGGATACCTTTTGTTTTCTTTCAGCAACTGGCTTTGCTGCGTATCCCTGCCCTCGTTGCCAGTTAAAGTGGAGATGGCTGTGCCGCTGGAGTGGGGGGCTGCCCCCCCCTCTCATCTGGGGCGCCTCCTCCGTCCCTCTGCTCCAATTGCTCAGGCAAGCAACACGGGGTCAAGAAGCTCCTTCGACCTTTCCCAGATAACTCCCCCTGACCACTCACTACGGGAAGCAATCTACGCTGAACAGATGGACACTTTTGGCAGGCGCTATAAAGCTGAAGAATATCAAGATAAATGGAATTCACTTCCACCTTCCAGCTGGTTTATGAGCATAAGATATTGCTTAGCAAATTCAGCAGGCAGTTTGGACGGGGAAGTGGCTAGCCCAGCAAGCCACTGAGTCCTGGTTACGGAAGAAGCCACCGGGAATTTCCGGGGTGTTGGGGGTTTGCGTCTAAGCATGGGTACAACACTCTTCTGTGTGGCAGGTTGTTTTGCCTTTCACTCCCAGGCCCCTTGAGGAGCTGGGCCGAAGGGAAACCTAAGAACAGCCCAGATGCACCCTGAACCCCAGCACACACACACACCCCGCCCGGCACTCAAAGGCAGCGCTCCTGGCCAGACAATGGAACCTGGAAAGGACAGAGCAGGAGCCATAGGAAGCTCCTGGGGGCTCCTCTTTGTGACAGCCAATTGCCCAGGGAAACTGGGTCTTCTTGGTGCCTCCAGCACAGCTCGCCCTTTCCCATCCATGACTGATCACGCCTCCCTCCCCCATTCTGACCTCCTACCCCTGCGGAGAAGCAGGTTGTTTGCGGGGAGGAAAGGACATGCCTGTGACCTCTGGGCAGTCATGGGACAATTCAAGAGGGACCCCAATGTGAGAGGCGCCCTTCCCACACTGCAAAGTCCCCACTCTTCTAACACCTCTGGCCAGAGAAGAGAAAACCCCTCGATCTGCAAGCGGAGCACCTACTGCATCACGGGGACTGCCCCCCACGGGCCACCAGGACTGGCCCCTCGGTGGGCTGCTCATTCTAATGTTCTTCCAGAAATGAGAAGCATTCCGTGAGGGCCCCCCCCGGGGGCTTTCTGCCCGGCCCCTGGACGGAACCCAGTGCAGCAGCCCGGCACTGAGCCACCCAAGCCGCGTGCCCAGGAACGGCACCTAGAGCCAAAGCAGCTGCGGGTGGCCTCGGTGAGTGACCCACGACTGGCCAGAGGGCCACTTCAGAGCACTTGGCCGGGACGAGCTCGGATGGATCTGCCAGAAGGGCCAAGGGGGTTCCAGGGACCCCCCCCTCGCCCACGGGATGCCTGCTCCGGGGAAGCCCCCTGAGAGCAGCAGCCTCCTCGGCAGGGGTGAGGGCTCTCCAGCCAGCCCGTGGGCCACGCCTGCCTGCCTGCCTGCACGCACTCCGGAAACGGGCCCTTCCTCACAGAGCCCTGCCCACAGGACGCTCCTGCTTGCCTGCCTCTCCCGCCACAGCCCAAGGAGTGCAGAAGGAGGGCTGCGGGGAGCCACAGTCCTGAGGAGCTGCTGGTCCAAGTGGGAGTGTGTCTACTGGCCACGTCTTGAGCCAGCCCGTCTTAAGTGCACAAATGGAGCCATCCCACTTTGCTCTTACCACCACTCTGTAAGGTAGGCTTGGCTGCACGAGATCCCCTGGTGAATTTCAGGGCTGAACAGAGACTTGAACCCTGACCCCACATACCACGGGCCATGTAGCCCACCACAGCGGCTTGGGGCTCTGGCACAGAAGAGCTACACGACCCAGTTCATCTGCCCCCCCCGCCCCGCTACCACTTTCCGTACAGCACGAGGCTCATGCCGAATGGGCAGCTGCCAGAGCAAGAGGTGGCCTTGGCATGGCTGTGCCTCCTCTGAGCAAGGCATGCTGCAGAGGGAAGGGCCCAGGTCATGCTCCAGATGCAGAAAAGCCTTGGGGAGGGGGGGGGCCCTGCTCCTCCCGGGGCCTCGTCTCCCACACACGCAAGTGGCACTCCTCCGTGACTGGCCTCAGCGGGCAGAGGTGTCTTTGGATACCCTTCCTGTCCAGCCTGCTTGCTCAGAGCTCCCAGCCTCCCCTCCCTGCTGCCCGTGCTTCTTCAGTGGGGGCGGCGGGGGCTGCAGAGCGTGCGGCAGACCCCCCCCCGATCAGCAGCAAGAGAGAGACATTCCCGCTGAGAGCCCACCATCTGGAAAGGACAACGGAAGTGGGGCCGCACGTCCTCCTGGGAGTGAATCACTCCAGGCACTCGGCACACCTTGCGCACCCACCCAGGGACCCCTTCCCACTGGAGGCCTCCTGGAACTCCTGCTTGGCTTTAGACTTCAGCCCCCTCCTGGCCCAGGTTAGCCAAGTGAGTGCCCAAATCAGCTCCTTCTCCAGCAAGGCAAGCAGGCGATTCCTACACCAGAGAAGAGCGCTGCTTCCACAGACCCACTGGCCTTAGGATGCTGTAACAATGCAAACCCTCACCCCCCCCCGTCTGAGGGAACCCTGCCACCCCCACCCCACCCCGATTTCCTTGTCCTTACACTGAGCGACAGAGTAGCAGCAGCATCCACCTCCCCACCCCCACCCCCAGCACTGTCAGAATCTGGGGCCAGGGTGGTCTTTTATTGCTCTGAGAAACGAGGAACCCCCCCCCCGCGCACACACACACATAGTGCTAAGCAGTAGAAATAGCTGCCCTACAGTCCACCCTTTCAAGCCAGGTGCTCCACTCTGCTGGGATTGTATGCTTCTGTAATATTTCTAAATGCGATCGTGGGCAGAGGATGGGTAAATCTGGTCTTAACAATGGATTGTTCTTTTTTCCTCAACTGTGAGGATTTACTATGTAATAAACTTTTCCTGAAAGATTTAAAAAAAAAAAAACACAGGTCACCAAAAGTTAAGTTGTTTCAACTGATTAATTAGTTAAAAGTCCTTTCATTAATAGATCAGTTGCAAGACAGAGGCCACCCTGCTGCTCACGCATAGAACGCGGCCCAGGATCCAGCCCTGCTTGCTCGGGGCCAGGGATCATAGCCACCTTGTGCCCTGGAATCCAGCCAGGCGAGGGCCCAACAGGGGCAAGGGAGCCTGGGCACACACGGCCACCTCCTTTCTGAAGCTGCAGAGGAGCAGAAGGGTGCCCGTTCCCACCTCCAGGGGAGATTCAGGGGGTGGGGGGCTGGCATCAGGCAGAAATGCAACTGTGAAGAGCACCCCAGGCTGCCAGGAGGGAGGCAACCGCCCTCTCCTCCATCACGGCAGAGCCTTATTCTCATGCAGGCAAAGCCTCTCCCTCCCCTCATACCATTTATCGCCCGCTTTAATCTATGCCCAAACAATCCTCCTTCACAATGTCCTTCTAAAGGGCAGGTCGCCTTCTAAGGACTTGGATGAAAAACCAGGGAGGGAAAAGCGCTCGCTGCTCTGCACAAGAGCGTGGAATTGATTTTCCTGCAGTGCTGCAAAGCCCCTCCATTCTATTCGGAGGCCTCTCCTGAACAGCTGGAGTCAAATTGCGCTATTGACAGCAGAAGCCCTCCTCGAGTGGAGCCCAAGGCGTTCAAGGCAGACCTAATGGCCCTCGGGCACACCAGCCACGGCCTCGCCGGATCTCCCCCTTGACAGTGGTGGCGCCACAGCTCACAGCTTGGGTCTTCACAGGGGGACCCACGGCCAGACAGCTCAGGCCACCGGACAGGCCCGCGGCCTGGAAGACGGAGTCCCCTGCCCTTCCTCAGCACCACTCACCCGATGGGAAGGCTTTTCTCGAGGAGGGGGGCCGCCACCGTGGGAAAGTGGGCCGACTATGCAGGAGCTGGAGGGGGGCCCACCACCACCGGTGTCCTTCTGCCTGTGTGTGTCATCCCCAAAGGTGGGGAGGAGCAGAGAGTCTGCCGTGGAAAGGGGGGAGTCTTCACAGCCAGCAAGGACGGCTTTGGCCGCTTCCCCAGTTTCCTGCCGCTCCAGGATTCCTTTGCAAAGAACAAACAGAGGGGTTAGGAAGCAGCTCCAAAATGACACACAACGTGTGCAAACTTTGGAGTTCTCTTCTTCAGTCTCTGGACGTTAAAAAAAACAAAAGAAAAAAGCGGGAAGGAAACTAGTTTGTTTTCTGTTTCTTGAGGCCGTCAAGTCTGTTTCTGTGGGAGGGAGAGGCATGCAGAACTGGCACCACCCCCCAGGCATCCGTGGCAGGGGAACCCACGAACCCACCAGTGTGGCTGGACTTCAGACCAGCAGGTTTTACAGTCCTGGTCCAGGAAGGTCAGCCCCAACGGGATTCCCTCCCCCAGTGAAACAGGAGCAGTGTCGTGTCATGGCTGGAGTGGTGGCGGCCTATGGTCTGGGAGGCCCAGGTTCAAATCCACACGCTGCCATGGGAGCTTGCTGGGAGACCTTGGGCCAGTCACACACGGAGAGCAGAACACGGTAAGCTGCTTTGCCCCCCCCCCCCGGCTGGGGAGGGAGGCACCATGTAAGCAAACAGTGACAGGGATTCTGCATTAAAGACTCGGCGTGGGACCCACCCAGGAGCTTCCGAAAGCAATTTCCTACCGTTAGCAGTGAACCCAAAGCAGCCAACAAGCAGACTTATGGCCGTGTGGATCGACCCACCAGCCTCCTCCGGAGCTGCCACGGGAAGCCTTTGGCCTGGGCAGCCCCCGCAGGGTGTGCCTGGCCCTCTGGGACACAGAGGCTCCCTCTCCACGGCCACGCCCTGCAGCCCCGCTGGCCTCTGTGAGACGCTCCTGTGCCTCCTGCTCCCCAGCTGGGGTGGGTGGGTGGGACTTGGGAAGGTTCTCTCCAGACAGACTCTGTGCAGAGGAGGCGCTCAGGACCCTTCTGGGCAGCATCGGGAAACCTTGCTGCGGGGTCGGCCGGGGTGGGGGAAGACATTGTTGCTTCCTAGCACTGAGAGCACGTCACAGAATTCCTCAGGAAGAGAGAGGCTTTTTGCCCTGGGCTTGGGAGCGTCCTGTGAAACAGGGCCATCAGCTCCTGCGGCCACATCAACGCCGTACCCTGCTGCACACAGGAGCCGGACTGACTGCTGGGCAGCTCACCCAGAATGGCGCACATCATTCTCTTTGCCTTCGTTTTATCCTCCCAACAACCCTGTGAAGTAGGTCAGGCGGAGAATACGTGAGTGGCTCAAGGTCGCCCAGCACGGCAGAGCAGAGGTCAGAACCGGGGTCTCCCAGATCTATGAGGAGCCGCTTTCCCACACGGACTCCCCTCCCCATTCTCACTCCTGGAATGCCTTTATTAGCAAGAGGTACGACCGGCAAACAGAAGACTTGAAACCAAAGTGTACATTAATAAGAGGCAAAAAAAATGACAAGCCTTCTGTCTGGAATTTGACATGGGTTTTGCCTCAGGGTTCCTTTTTCTCAGTGTGTCCACATGGGCCTTCCACGGCACTCCATTCTCCACCGAAGAGAGCAGGAGTCTGGGTGTTGCCTGTTTTGATCTGAAGGTGGAGCCATTTTTCTTGCTCCACTTGCCGTGGAAATGGAAGGAAAGCCACTGCCTTTTGAAGGGGGGTGGGGGGTGGGGAGAGCTGTGGCTGTGGGACTTTTCTTCCTGTGTGTTGTAAAAAAATGGTATTTCTAAGAAATAACAGGAATTCATATTACGCGTGGCAACAGGAGCCAGAATGGTTCGGAAACCACTCATTGGGCCCACTTCTGGGCAGCATTTGCTACCATGCAGAATTAGCAAATCATACAGAATCAGCGAGGAGAGCTCAGACAGACCACTGATGGAAAGTTGGTCACCACAGCACCTCTAAGGGACTCTTTCTTTCAAATGTTGCTGTATCTCAGCTGAATCTCATCCGAAGTTTAAATGTATGACTGTTATGGTCCATATATGCCTTTTATTTCTTTTTTTTTTGCCCTATTCTTCTCTTTGTTTTGAGTACAGGCCTGTTGGCGATGTAATATCAGAAATCTTGGTCAAGTTGGCTCTTCTCCACTGTCTGGCAATTTTAATATTGTTTCCCGGGGGAAACCATTTTTGGAATAAGCATGTTGTTTGCCTGGATGTTCTTGGGAGTAGTTTATATTTTTCTTTCTTCCATATATCCTTTCTAATGATTATGGATTAAATTAGAGTTCCTCTATTTTATGAGCGTTTGCAATATTCTTAGACTTTACATTTTTTATATACAATTTTATATTTTATGTACATTTTATATACAATTATATACAATTAAATGAGAAGGAGGGGATGAGAATAACTGGCACCCTCACCTTTCTCCCTGGGTACTTTTAAACTTTGGTGTGATCCCCACCCCCACCCCAAACAGCACACTTTCCTTGGTGCTCCAGGACCACAGCCTGTTTCAGACACATGGTCGCCAGCTTCACACACAGTGAACGAAGAAGAAGGGATCTCTCTCTCGTGTGATGCTGCACCCCTCCTCCTGCCCACCCCCTCAGAGAGAGGAAGCCAGGCTGCACACAAACACACAGGAAAACCAGTCTTGCTTCCAGAGTGCTCAGAGTCCAGCTGCCCACGGGGGATGGAACAACATCAGCCCAGAGATCCTGCCTGCCCCAGGGACACAGGTTGGGGGCTGGTGGATGGGGGTATATTTATGGTATGTGTGTAATGGAACAGTCTCCCCCCACCCCACCCCAAAATCTGTGTGACTTAGTTTGGATATGACTGTAATCAACACTACCAGAATGCTGCCCTCTAGAGTTCCAGGCATCAAACAACAGGAGCCAGGAGATCTCAGAAAAAACACAACCCCAATCTTGGGTCACCCGTTTTGTTGCCCTCCACATCTAACTGCTCAGTCTGCCTTCAGACCATGCAGTGCCTTTGGACCCCGGGTGCCAGGCTGGTTTTAACGGGGAGACTGAAGCCACGGGGGGGGGGGACGGACGGGACTGAGCCCCTCCCCAGCCACGCCTTCTCTGACCCCCCCCCCCCCCCCGGCCCCTCTGAGGCCAGCCCGAGATGAGGCACCAGCTGCACAGACCACTAAACGGTCTTCTTCACAAGGAAGCACGCTTCCCCTTGACTGGCAGAATCGCCACCGTGAAAGGACATCTCAGGACGGCTCCAGGAGGCAGGGGCCTGCTTCCCTTCCGAGGGGCCCTAGTCAGCATCCCAGAAGAGGAGGAGGAGGAGGAGGAGCTGCTGCTGCTGCTGCAGGGGGCACCATGCGGGAAACGGGCCAGACAGGAAAGGAGGGTCTCGGCCCCTTTCCTCGGCTGCGGCATTTCCTTCTCTCCGGCCGTGTCCCCTCCTCTTCCCTTCAGGACTCTCCCCTCCGTCCAGTTGGGTAGCCGGCACGTGCGCTCTTTCTTTCCAGTGATGTCAGTTCCGAAATGAAGGTCTATGGTCCCCAATCAGTTTATGCAACTGGCAGGGTGTACCCCCTCTGCCAAGAGGAGGAGGAGGAGGAGGAGGAGGAAGAGGAGGAGACTGCATCTATACCCCATGGCCCTTCACTACCCAAGGGAGTCTCAGAGGGGCTTACAAACTCCCTTCCCTCCCCCTCCCCACAACAGACACCACCTGTGAGGCAGGTGGGGATGAGAGAGCTCTGACAGAAACTGCTCTTTTTCAAGAACAGCTCTTATCAGAGCTAAGGGTTCCAGCCAGGTGCAAGTGGAGGAGTGGGGAATCAAACCCGGTTCTCCCAGATTAGAGTCCGCTCACTTAACCACTACACCAAACTGGCTCTCCATTATTATTATTTAATAATAATAAATATATTATTAAATCCATGCAAAGAATTATTATGGCTCTGCCGCAGAATATATTTCAATGAGCATCACAATCGCTCTTCTTCCTTATAAATGAGTGAAATTTCATGACACCTTAAAGACTAACAGGTGCATTGTAGCAGAAATAATCTTTGAATAAGCAATGACTGAACTAGGAGCTATTAGCAGACGTCACTTCCACAGAGACTCCTCCGCCTGCTTTCCTCACCTCCCTGATTGCTACGGCTGTCTGTCTGTCGTGAACGGCCACATGAACGGCCTGATCTCTGTTTGCCCCGCAGGGTTTTTTTTACTCATTTCTCCTACACGTCCATTATTTATTATTATTATTTATTTATTTATTTATTTATTACTTTAGATTTGTATCCCACCTAGCCGCCTTCTTCCATGAAGCTTCAGACAGCAACTAAGGGAGCATCCCCATTCTGACATGCCCAGAAAAGGCGGCTCCTGTGCCACGAGGGGGTCAGCCCTGCCAGCCTCCTTCTTTTCCACGTCTGGGCCACCCGCATGCAGCCTTCCACTTGAAGGCCCAGCCTGGCACCCTGCAGGCACAGCAACCGGCATGCAGAGACCGCCGTCCCAACCCTGGGTGCCAACAACTGCCTCGAACCCACCGGTGTCCTCTGGTCAGGGACTGGGGCAGGGCGGCAGGGCTCCACAGCAGAGAAGACCCCTTCGACACTCACCCCCCGCTCACCGCAGGCACGAAGCTCCGCACGGCCATGGATGGCTTTATTTCACGGAGACCACTTCTTGTTCTCTCCAGGCGACCCGCACCAGGCAGGCCACAGCAATGCCAAGCAGCAGAACCAAGACATTAAGACAAGAACCAGGCACCCACCAGGCCCCGCTGGCCATGAAAGCCGCTCAGCCCAGCAGCAGTCAAACCACCCGCCTCAAAACACCACCAGGACTCCACTGCAGAGGCATCATACCTTAAAAGCAAAGCCACAGAGAGGCTAGCAGGAAACACAGGGGCAGAGGGCCAGCTGGGCGTCCACTGGTCCGAAGCCACGGGGTAGCGTGCCAGTGGTCTGTTCTCTCAATTTAGCTCTTGAAACAAAAATGGACGGGGCCCGTGCAGAAGCAGCAGGGTTAAACAAGAAAAGATGGCGGTGGAAGAAAGGAGAAGAGGAGTGGGCTGGCGGTTACCTGTCTCAATGTCCCAGACAGAAACGGAGTCATTCTCGCATCCAACCACCAGCAGGTTTTCCAGCGGGTGCCACCGGAGCACCCTCACAGGGGAAAGATGCTTCCTGGCGTGCAGGATGCAGGCTCGTGCTTGCAAGTGCAGCAGCGCCACCGAGTGGTCACTGCACAGGCAGCACACAATCCGCTGGCCCTGGAACTGTGAGGACAGAGAACCAAGAAGGGACAGCGGTCAGAGTGCTGGACTAGGAACGGACTGGCCCAGGGTCAGACCCCCACCCTGCGGTCCGGCCCACGCCAGAGTCCCTCTCTCCCAGCCTGGCCCTCTTGCGTGGCAGCAAGGAAGGGGGGAAAGAAGGGAGGCCTGGATGGGCCAGACTCATCACAGCACATCTGACCATCTCCTCCTGGGGGAAAGGGGGGGAGGAGGAGGAGGAGAAGGAGAGACTGGATTTATGCCCCACGGCCCTTCACTACCCAAAGGTGTCTCAGAGCGGCTTACAAACTCCCTCTCCCTTCCCCTCCCCTCCCCACAACAGGCACCCCCTGTGAACAGTGTTCCCTCTAAGCTGAGTTAGTGTGAGCTAGCTCAGTTTTTTAGCCTCCGGCTCACACATTTTTGTCCTAGCTCAAGAAGGATGGCTCCAGTGCAAACTAATTTATGCAGTAGCCAAATTGCTCGCTCCCAACCTTAATGCCAGTAGCTCACAAAGTAGAATTTTTGCTCACAAGACTCTACAGCTTAGAGGGAACATTGCCTGTGAGGTGGGTGGGGCTGAGAGAGCTCTTTTGAGGACGGCTCTTATCAGAGCTATGGCTTGCCCAAGGCCATCCAGCCAGGTGCGAGTGGAGGAGGAGTGGGGGATCAAACCCGGCTCTCCCAGGGCAGAGTCCTCCGCGCACTGGACCATGGCACCAGATGGGCTGGCCGCGCGCACGCTGTTCCGCCCCTCAGGAAGAGCAGAGATCCCCCGCCAAGCATCTGCCCTTCAACCTGACGATAACCTCAGCTACTGAGCTAAAACTCCCACCTGCGTCCACAAAGTACACAGGCAAAAGAAATATACACCAGACATACTTGGTGCTGACTTTCAGTTTCCTGGCACAAAATTAGTCGTACCCAGAAAATGAGACCGTGCAGCTAACCTGGCAGCTGGCCCCTGCCTCAAGACGCATGAACTGCCCCCGATACCCACCTGTGGTCCCCAAAAACACCCGGGGGGGCAAAATGGGCAGCTCTCTTCCACCAACAACGGGCTCCCGGCTCTCATCCCCCAGACCCCACATGAAGACCATGCTCGGGGGCAAGGAGGGGAGGGGAGGGGAAGGACTGTTCCACCACTGGCTCAGTCATATTCACGCCAGAAAAGGAAGGCAAGAGACAGTGAGATCCCAGTCCCACCAGAAGGCGGTGTTTGTGCGTGTGTGTCTGTGGGGAGCGTCCTCAAGAGGCAGAGGCGAACACAACTGTCACACAACAACCACTGTCCTTACGGAGGCGCTGAGCCACTGGCGTCGCAGAGGCCTGCCCAGCCTCCCCTCCTTCAGAGTGGGACCCTACACCAAGCTCTTATCCCAGCCAGCGCTGGAGCCTGTGGGCACCGGGACTGGCACCGGGACGCTTGTCCGGGGACCCATGTCCCACCCCAGCCAGGGGCTCGGAACACAGGCCCAGAGAGGAGGGGGAAAGGACAGGCCTCAGGGGCTCCGGGTGGCCGGCCTTTAGAGCTGGAGGCCCTCCTCAGGAGGCTGGCTTGCCCTGGGCAGCAGCTGGCCTTGAATCCTCCCCCCCCCCTCCACCGGGTCATGGACTGACTCTCCCCAAGGAAGCTCAGCGTAGAGAAGGAACCATGTGGTTGCATTCCGGGGCGGGGGGAGGGGATGACCCCCCCCCATGTTTGGGCTGACTGCGGAGCCTCCTACCTGCAAGCACAGCTGAACGGAATCCCTCCCCTTCCCCCTCCCCCCTCCGCACAGGGCCAGGAAGCCACAGCAGCCGCTCCTCCTGAGAACTGCTGCAGCGGTGTGGCCGTGTCCATCTGTACTGTCGCAAAATGAGGCGGAGGTCCAGAGGCAAAATGTCGCTAAGGAGCCACGGGACTGGTTTACTAATGTTTGTGGCTCTTGCTGAGCCCCACAGCTGCCCTCTGGGGGGTGGGGCGGGAAACCATCCTGGCCTCTCTGAAGCATTCATGAGGCCGCTTCCGACGGAGCCACAACCTTCCCTGGTCTACCCTGACTGGCTGTGGGTCTCAGGCCAAGGTCTCCCACATCACCTACGAACTGGCCCTTATTTCAAACTGGGGACGCTGGGAACTGAACCTGGGACCACCTGCATGCAAAGTGATAGCCAAGGGCTCTCCTCCTCTCCCCCGAAGCTCTGTCGCTCTGTACTCACTCTGTAGTTCTCGGAAGACAGCAGCAGCTGGGTGACAGGGCCAGCCTGCAGAGAGAACTGGTGTAAAATCTCTCCTGTAAACATGTCCCACCAGATCACACAAGAATCCTGGCTCCCGGACACCAGCCAGCTGGGATCGAAGCGGGCAGACCAGCCGCGGAGGTATAGCAAGGAAGTGACGCTGCTGCTGTGGCCAGCGAGGATCCTGTGAGGCAGGGGGTCTGGAGGAGAGGAGGACAGGGAGGCGCTGAGATCGGGGGGGGGGCATGACTGGGGGGGGGCGATGGGCAGCTCTCCCCAAGCAGCTCCTGGCTGCCTGACTCGGCCTCTTCTTCACACAAACTATGGATACACAAAGTTGAACTCCTGTACTGACAAGAGGGGAGGGTCCTGATGACAGGACACCGCTTCACCCAAGGAGGATATGCACTCCCTCCTCCAGAGATGGCCCCAGGCCTTCGACGCTATCCCCTCAGCGAGCCTTGAGCCCGAAAAGAGTCCACGCAGCAGGTCTGCTTTCCAGACATCGCTGTGCCACAAGGGGCACATAAACCCCACCTTCCCCTGGGAGCCGTCTGAGTGCCGCACACATCCACATGCTTCCAGCGGCTACTGACAACAGGCGACACCATCCATTGCGCCCGCTAGATTCACTCCTATGGAATGCACTTAAAAGCCCGGCTGTGCTATTTGCAAAGACAGGACTGCAATATCCCAGGTCTCAGTCTGTGTGGCATGGTGTTTTTGTTTCACAGGACAGTTGGGTCATGTGCAGAATATGCCACGGAACCTGCTTTGCTGACTGCTCTCATCTTTGTGAGAATTTTAAACGCCTGAGCAAGCCTGAGCAAAGTGAGGAATTTCTGATCTAGATTTGCAAATGCAAACAAACAGAAGTCCAGGGGCATCCTGAAGACTAACAACATTTATCCCAATATATATGCTTTTCTGAGTCACTGCTCACTTCTTCAGGTCCATACACTCAACAGGATGTCTGCCAGAGAGACATCCAGAGCAAGCAAGCAAGCGCGCGCACACACACACACACACACACACACACACACACAGACTCTTGCACGCATTCACACGGGATGTGCTTTGTTAGCATGCAGCCTCAGCCAGAGAGTCAGTCACTGGCATTCAACACGGCTGCCTGCGCAGTGGCTCACCTTTCAGCACAGAGACCTCTTCCAGCAGCCTGGTTTTGACGGCCTGCAGAGCCGGAACAATGAAGATCCTCCCATCTTCACAGCCACACACCAGCTTGTCGAGACTGGGGATGTACACGGAAGAGCCGGGGCCCCTCCTGCCCCCCTGGCCAGCCCCACAGAGGGGATCCAGGATGCCTTCAGCCACAGAACCGTGAGCATCAAAGTGATCCTGCAGAGTCCAGGAGGCCGCTATTGGAATCTCTGGGGAGGAAAGGCAGCCAAGTCAGAGCAGGAAGCTCGCCGGGAGGGGTGAGGGTGGCATCCTGCCCAGGGCAAGGCTGATCTAATGGCTTCCTGCAGACCAGGGGGTTCCCTGTGGGCACCTCTGTGACTCTGACCCAGGGCTGTGGGGGCACAGCCACAAAATGGCTGGTGCTGGAGGCGGAGCCACATAGACACAGAGGAAGCCCACGGGCAGGGAAGAAAGAGAGGCGTCTCTGTACTGCATTTTAACACTGGTTTAATTTAACTTGGGTCATTGTGTTTGTACTCTGTTGTAAGCCGCCCTGAGACCTGCTTGCAGGAAAGGGTGGCATAAAAGTCTAATCTATACATAAATAAATCTGAAAGACAATGCCATGGCAGCTGCCACTGAAACAATGTCATTTTAATCTGCCTAGCCAATCAGATCTTCCGTGGCCCGTCAGAAGCCCTGTTGCTGGGCAGCATCCCCACCTGGCCCCACCCACTTTTTAGAAAGGCTTGGTGGGTCCCCTTCAGTACGTTGGGGCCCCCTGCAGTGCGTGATCCGAGCACCCTGAAAGAACCCCAGGTCCAGCAACAGATGGAGCCTGCCCATGGAGCAGAGGGGCTGCGCGACACTGGAGGGCGGGATTCTGGAGTCCTACAATGCTTGCCAAGTTTCCACAGGTGCCTGTCCTCTTGGCCTCCCCTCCGAATGTGTCCAGAATGGGGGGGGCATCCACTCCCCCCCCAGATCAGTTCCTGCTTCTAGAGCCCTTTAAGTGCTTCTCTGAAAGACCAGAAGATGCCCTGACCTTTTGGAGAGCCATCCAGCGTTGAAACTGGCACATCGGGAATATGCCACAAAGTGATTCTCCCAGAAGCATCTCCAGAATAAAGAATCTTATAAAAGGGTTCCTTCCTTTCATTCATAAAGCCCATCACGTATGAGAAACTCTGTCAAAGGAAGAAGCACAGAAACTCAAACCAATACCTTATGGCGGTCAAAAGAGCAGCACAAAAGAGCAGCACAACCCGAAGACTGCTGCGAAGAGTCAGGCGGGGGGGGGGGGCCCTGCCCTGCCGCTCCTCCAAACCTGGGATCAAGAGGGTCAAACCAAAAGGCCCCCCCCATCCCCGTGACACCTTCTCCATCTTACAGTGTTCAAGGTAGATTAAAGATTTAAAAAGCAACAGATTAAAAAGCAGCAGATTGGATTGCTAAGAGTAGCAAAGTTCTCCCAACAGTAGCCCTTGACGTGTTTCCTCCAGATGCGAGAGTTGTGCTGATGCACACTGGGGGCCATCATAGGAAAAGCCCTGCTCCTGCACACGGCTTAATGCTCTGCTGCTGAGACACAGAACAGGGTCTATCTGCTGATCGGCATAAGCAAGAGGAGGATAGCTCCATATAACACTCTCTCTGAGGAGCAACGTTACGCAGGAGTCAGACTGGCGAACCTGCAATCCCCCCCCCGCCCCCGCAGTCCTCAGCATGGCTCATTCATTCCATTTACAGGTAAGGCAAAGGGCAATTTTCAAGCGGTTTCTGAAAGTCCATCCAAAGTGCAGTCAGCAGCACTGGACAGCCATTAGCGTTACCTCGTTATCTCTCACAGCTGTGGAACAAAGTAAAAGAGGACAGACGGTTTCTGTGAGCGCTCTTCGATCGGGGGGCTGTTTGCTCCGTGAAAGGCAACTAGATGCATAAAAGGAGAGAGAGGAATAAAAGGCACTGGGCTTTGGAAAAAATCCCCTCTGTGACAAGCAGGGAGCGACCAAGATCCCCCCCCCCCCGTCCACTCGCTGGCCCTCCCCTTGGAAAGCCTCAGGGCCAGCTGCCCGTGTTGGACACGGCTGATCTCACCCCTGTCGAGGAACACAAAGGCCGGCGGCTGCCAGACCCCGAGCAAAGCCTCTTCGGCCACAGGGTGCTTGCTCCACGTTTGGTCCTCTGGAGCCACGGGAGGGAGGGAGGGAGGGAGGGAGGGGTTCCCCACACAGCCGGCCAGCTCCCCAAGTTCAGCCGGAGCCCCAAACTCGCCTGTGCTTTCCCAGCCGCACCCACCTGTTCAGCAGCTGGTAGATGTAGCCTTGGCCAGCCTCTGTCCAAACGACCAGCTGGTGTGCTGCAAGGACTTCTCCCCCAGCCCAGGAATGGCTGCTGGGGCTGGATTCAGTCCACAGCAAGGAGAAATCACAGTAATCGTACACCTGGAGTCACAAAGATCACTCAGTAGAACAGACACAGGCCTCTTGCCTACTGACTCTGCTTGAAAGTAAAGAATTACATTTCTGTCCTGCCCCCTCAAACAGAATTAGAAAGAAACAAATAAAATAGCACAGGAAAACAGTAACATCAAATGTGTACCTAACAGAAACACCTCTGCTGGATAAAGATTCAAAAAGAACAAATGAGTTTCCCCCTTAAATGCTTTCCAAATAATAAAAGGACAATTTGGGGCATAGAATGCAGAGGCTGACTATTGCTCAACAACCATCCCCCCCACCCCACCCCCCGGATCCATTCACGATGTGCGAGAAGCTCCCACGGGCACAGATGGCCTGTGTGGGGTTCCCATTCTGCCTCCATCCTGCAGGCAGCCGGCAGGCAGCATCGTTCAAGCCAAGGGGTGCCACACACACACACACACACACTGCCAGGACATGCTGTGGGTGGAGCCAAGTAAGACTCTCTTGCTCCAGAACCTGTGGCGGAGGAGCAGCAGCTGGGCTCCTTGGACCTGGATTCTGTGGCAGTGCTGAGTGACCCAGGCCGGGACCTGGGTATCTGAAGGACCGTCTTCTTCCACGGAGTCCTGCCCGGGGTTCAAGATCCGGGGGGGGGGGGGGCCCGCTTTACTGCCCCAGGAGCCCTCTTTACCGTCCCATCCATCAGAGAGGCTCACTTGGGGGGGTACATGAGAGGGGGCTTTTCCAGTGGCAGCCCCATGGATAGGACTCCCTTCTTCCCCGCGAGGGGCACCTGACTCCCTTCACTTTTGCTCTTCTGGAGGCAACTGAAGATGGTTTTACGTAGGACGGCATTCGGTTAGGTTTACTGGCAGTCTTGAACTGTGATTTTAAATTTTGGTTTTTAATGTACTTTATTTTATGTGTTTTATAAGATTTCATCTTCAGTGAAATTAAACCAGCCTAGCATATGTAACGTTGGCTGTGTCTGTGAAGCAAATTCTCGCAATTCTTGAGTGGATGGTGTGGCGTGGGAGCAGTCCCCCCCCATGCCATTATTTAGCTGGGGTCCTGACCAGTGCTCCCTCTAAGCTGTGGAGTCTTGTGAGCAAAAATTCTACCTTGTGAGCAACTGGCATTAAAGATTTGGCTGCTGCATAAATTAGTATGCTCTGGAACCATCCCTTCCTGAGAGAAGACAAAAATCTGTGAGCTGGAGGCTAAAAGACTGTGAGCTGGCTCACACTAACTCAGCTTAGATGGAACATTGGTCCTGACTCATCAGCCTCCTGGGGGCCGAGTGGCAAGCACAGCTGCCCTGGTGCTCAGTCCTCTCTGACTGGCCTGGTCTCCCCCTGACACCTGAGCAGCAAGGGAGCGGCCGAGGCCTGACCCGCCTGAGGCTGCAGCCTGTACCTTCCAGCAGCTGGAGAACACAGCCAAGAGGAGCCTCTCGGTGTAGGGGCAGAATCGGATGGCCTGGCAGGACGTGCCGTCCAGAGACTTGGACTCCCTCTCAGCAACAAGCTGCTTCTCCTGAACATGAAAAGCAAAAGGAAACAGGACCTCCTCGCAGGGCTGCTGGACCCAGGGAACAGCAACCCGTCCGCCCCAGGGTGCCGCCCAGAGAGCTCGCCCCGCCTTCCTGTGAAACCCGTGAGGAGGTGAGACTCTGAAAGGCCTCATCGAGGGCATGAGCAGGAAGAAGGGGGCAGGGCAGCCGAACAGAAACACCAGCAGCGAAGTCAGTACAGGAGGCACTTTGTACAGGAGGACCCCACGTGACTGCTTCAGTTGGAAGGCAGACAATCATTTCTGCTGCAGCCAAGGCAAAGAACCAGGCTGGCTCAGACCCCGGGGTTCAGATCAGAGCTCCTGCCTCCTCAGGCGCCTGCTGAAATGCTGCTCTTGCCTCTGTGCTGTTGGCACATGGCACAGGAGGAGGAGGAGGAGATTGGATTTATACCCCCCCCTCACTTGGAGTCTCAGAGTGGCTTACAGACTCCTTTCCCTTCCCCTCCCCACCACAGACACCCTGTGAGGTCGGTGGGGCTGAGAGAGCTCTGACAGGAACTGCTCTTTTTCAAGGACAGCTCTTGTCAGAACTAGTGACTGACCCAAGGTCACCCAGCCAGGTGCAAGTGGAGGAGGAGTGGAGGAATCAAACCCGGGTCTCCCAGATTAGAGTCCGCCTGCGCTTAACCACTGCGCCAAACTGAGCGAGAGGAGGGAGGGCACACGGCTGAGCTGGGCAGCAGGAAGAAGGCCGGAAGCTCCCTACCAAGCAGGGCCCAGAGGCACGGCTGGCTTCTCAAGACGGCTGGCACACGGTGGCGACAGCCCTTCTGCTGGGCTCAGGGGCCACCCTTCCCCAGGGGCTCAGGCCGGCCCTTCAGGGAACGCCTTGTTCCAAGCTCCCCACTGCCAACCCCCAGAGGCTAGATGGATCACTATAAGAAGCGGGGCCTGCTCTGCTGTGGCCCCCTCCTTGTGGAATTCTCCCTTCCCTACAAAAGGCTGCCCCATTCAGTTTAGGGGACATTCAGTACTTTTGACATGATTGTGAGTCCCAGAGGATTTGGAAGCAAAGTGAACACAAAAAGCAAAGGTCCTCCTTTTAGATAGGAAACGTCTTTCTGGCCAGTGTCATGGCTTCCATCCTAGGGCACTTGCAGGGGGGTGGCTTTGCTTCCGCACTGCAAGGGCTGTGATGCGCCTCATTCCACAGCCACAAGTAGCCTTCATGGTTAGGAAGCCGCCAAGGGGGGAAAGGGGGGCTCAGAATGGCTCGGCCCTTCTCTGGGGTGCGGGGTGTCCCTCGGGCTGCAGGCTGCCCTGGGTTGCCTTCCCCTCTCCTCCTCCTCCTCCTCCTCCTGCCACCTTGTTGCTCACCACAAATGACACGACATCTGTAAAAGCTTAAATGGGTTCATTCCAAATATGAACCCCTGGGCAGAATCAGCAGACTTGCCTGAGGTGCTGCCATCGCTGGAATGGGGACAGAAGCCACGGACACCAGCCCTGTGCGTGTGCAGGCACGTGCCTCTGCCTGTGCGTGCCTCAGGGCCAGCATTAGGGTCTTCCCAGCCTTTGGTGGATGCCCAATGTCCCCCCCCCCCCACACTGCTGATTACCTCACTGGCGAGTCCCTGTGGAGTCTCTTCTCTCCTTAGGCAAAGGCCAGCTCCGAGGGGCTAGTGGAAGCCCCAGTCTGGAAACACCCCCCCCTCCCCGGCCCCGTAGATTTCCGAACAGCACGTCTGGTGTGGCCTGGACTGGGCAAGGCCTTACCTGTATCCTGGTCACCGAGGAGGACAGGTCCCAGACCTTGAGGTCTCCTGAAGCTGATACAGCAATTAAGGAATCCTCTGTGTGGGGGAAGCAGTGAGCAGAGAGGTGCTTAGTGCAGAGCTCAGATTCTGGCTGGCTTAAAGCAGGGAATGGGGGGAGGGGCGGCCCTGGGATCATGCTCCGTGCATCTACTCCTAACAAACGAACACCGAGCACGGCACAAGGACTCTGGGTCCTCCTCACACAATGCCCAGAACGAACAGCCAGCCGCGCTTGCCCCTCCTCCAGTCCATATGCCCGCACACTCCCCGCCACCCAAGGATTCCGCCATGACACGGAGGACCCCTCCTGCTGCCAGGGGGTAAGGGTGCCTTGGGGGCAGGGGCTCTGCGGCACCACAAGGACATGGAGCCCTCCCTCCCTCCCCCCCCGCCGGGGCTTGAAGGGCCCATGGGCGGGCACTGCCTTGCCCCAAAGGCTCACACTGGGACAATTGTCTGTGAGGCGCCCCATGGGGGTGGAGGGGCCGTTTGACTGACAGGGAACCTCCCCCCCCCCAGTGGGCCGCTGCTGCCCTGGAGGGCCACACGCAGCCAGGCCAACTGGTTCAACAGCACCAGTCACTGAGACCAGATCACCAGCTGTGTTTTCCTGCATCAGTCTTCAGGAGGGAGCAGTGAGTGAGCTGCTCCCCCACCCCATGTCTGTGTGCCACTGAGGAGCCGAGTGGCCCCTGCCGTGCCCTTGGTCTGCTCCCCTCCCACCCCCACTCACAGGGCTCTGCCAGACTTTGGTTGTATTTGGGTGTCGCAGACGGATACGGCCACCCTTCAGCAACACTCATATTGCCGGGGGGGGGGGGGGGCTGGGGGCTGGTGGGCTTCGGACATCCGAGTGGGTTTCTGGCAGAGGAGAGGGGCAAACTGGGGACTTCCTGCTTCTCGGCCTTGCAATGGTTTGGCAGCCCCGGCTGGATCTCCACTGGCATCACTGTGCAAGGCTGGTATTACACTTAAGACCTCGTCGTGACTCTATGGGGCACTCCCTGCTCGCTCGTCAGCACGCTCTCTGCCCACTTCCTCCACCGCCCCTTGGCAAGTCCAGGGCCAGAGGAGGAGGGAAAGGGGAGCGGGTGGCGCTCAGCCTGCCTGTGGCCTACCACCCACCAGACAAGTCTCCCTAGATGCCCAGCCTTCCCCGGGAACCAGAGAGCGAGGAGCCCCCAGAACACTGGCTCGCTCAGCCTTGTACCCCTCACCTCCCCGGGTTTGGCAGCCAGCACCGGCTGAGAGTCTGCAGGAGGACCCCTGGGTTGCTCAGCAGCTGGATGACCTGCCTCTTCTACTTGCCTGCCACGGCCTGAAGCCTTGCCCAACACCACTAATGGGAGCAGTGCCTCCGTTCCAAGTGCAGCAGAATGAAAGCCTGTGCCAGCCGCCAGAAGCAGGCTAAGGAGCGGCTCCTTCCCGGGGCACTCCCCCCCCCCGTTTGCCTCAGGGAAGGGAAGCGAGGTCTCAGCGAGAGGCGGGGGGGGGAGGGGGGAAGGGAGGGTGGAGGATGCGGCCAGGAGGAGAGAGGACTATGTGGAGGAGGAGGAGGCCCAGGAGGAGAGCCTGCAGAGAGAGCAGGAGACTCCGGAAGACTATGCTGCTGCCCCCCCCCCACCAGTCAGCACCGCATTTCCCTGTGCTGGCCGTGGTGTGTCCCGAAGGCCTTTTCCCGCTGGCCCTCACAAACATACCTGCCACAGTGCCCCTCCCCCCCCAGGAGCCCCTCATTTGCCTCTGCCCAGTGCCCCCTTCCGCCTCTAGGCAGGAAAGCGTACCTTGGATCCGTGGGGAGTGAACCAAGCACATGCAGCTGACCCAGTTGGAAGACTGAGACGATGTCAGGGTGTGAAGGACAGTCAGTGTTCTGGCATCCACAAGGAGGATGTCATTGTATTGTCCGCAGCACAGAAGCCAGCCGTCTCCGGTCATTCGGAACGAGCTGTGGTAATACTAGGTGGGGAGGGGGGAGAGCAGCCACAGGAGGTTAACCAACAAGACCACACGCGTCTCCTCATCTGCCGCGTGCTGGAAATCGGCACAGATGTCCCACTTCCCTTTGAATCTGTCCTGGCCCCACTCACACAGCCAGTCAGGAGGACCACAGCAGCACAAGATGTTGGGTTTTGATAATGAGATATTGAAAAAATGGTATTTAGCAGAGATAATATAGCCCAGCAGAGCCTGAGTAAGATAATTCAGACTGAGAGTCCATGTGTGATTAAAATATAAAGTTTTTTACTAAATTCTAGCATGGGAAGGGTAACTGGGATGAAAATAACAAAAGAGCATAATCGGCTACATCCTTACTCTACAAAGACAAAACTAGAAGAGTGAGAGTATGGCTACTCTTCTTCTTCTTCAGAACACCAAACAAAGACGGGAAGAGAGCCATAAAATGCTAATAAACCTTGACACTTTCATCCTAATCAAACTCCTAGACCAGGGAGAAATTTCCCGGGCATCCTACAGCTCAAGAACATTGGTTACATGAGAAACATGTGACTTCCTGTGAGCAACATAAACAAACATTTAACCCCAGATGTACTGAGTGTTTTCAACTTGTAATACCCAACACAAAGCCTCGGCTGGCACTAGGAGCCTCCTCTCCCCCCCCCCAAGGGAAAGTGCCCCCAGGGGGCAGCCCTTCCCACTTCACAGGAGCCAGAGGGGACTCTGGGCCTTCCTGGCCACAGCAGAGGGGGAGGTGCTGGCCAGGAACTGCACCAGGGTCCAGGCAGCTGCATCAGGGATGCCCCACCCCCACCCCGTGCTGCTGACACGGAGCCTACACTTGATTCCCGTATCAGACGGGCCATCCCCAGCACCGCCGCTGCACCGTCTATGAGGGAAGCTGAGACAAACAGAATCCAGACTCCAAAGCCTCCCAGACACTTAGAGGTTAGCACAGTGCATGAAAATAATCCACTGCAGCTATGCAAGAACAGCCGTGGGATGGAAGACCAGGAAGCGGGGAGGAGAGAGGAAGAGCCACCACTTAAGAACATAAGAGCCGCCCATGTTGGATCAGGCCAGTGGTCCATCCAGCCCAACACTCTGTCTGTCATACAGTGGCCAAAAATACCAGGGGCCATCAGGAGGTCCAGCAGTGAGGCCAGGACACCGGAAGCCCTCCCACTGTTGACCCCCCCCCAAGCACCAAGAAGACAAGAGCATCCCTTGCCCCAGAGTCCCTATCTAGACCTTGTGGCCACTGATGGGCCTCTGCTCCATATGCTTATCTAATTCCCTCTTGAAGCCGTCCATGCTTGTTGCTGCCACCACCTCCTGTGGCCGTGAATTCCACGTGTTATAATCACTTTCACACTGCAGCTCCCCCCCCCCGGCTTTCGTGCTGAAGGCCGGAGAGGCCCCGGTGCAGTGCTGAGCGGGAGCAAAAGTGCCACTCCGGCAGCGCCCGAGGGCCCCGGTGCCTGGGCTGCTCTGGGCTCCTGTGCCTCCCCTCTCCAGGAAGGGCAGACAGCCGATGCCTGGCATTTCTGTAGATCTGGCTTCTGGAAAACGCTGGGAAAGCCATGGCATTTCTGGCACACCAGGCTGGAATGGGCTCACAAATGCAGCTCCTCGGGTCGGTATGCCGAGAGAATCCCCTTGGAAGAGTGCAGAAAAGCCCCCACCAAGAAGGTGCTGTACTTACGCAGATGGCCGTGTGCCTGAAGGGGAGCTGCGTGTGCTCGATGCACTGGCCGCTGGTGACATTCCAAATGCACATTTCCCTGCCAAGAGAGAGCCCGGGGTTACTGCCAGGCCTGATCCTTCCTGTGACTTTCTGATTCCTGGGCGGAAACACTGGCCCCCTCTCCAAGGGCTGACAGTGACACAGACGGTAGCTGTCCCTTTTCATTTCAGGAATCAGAAAACGGGCTGGCTTCAAGAGCAGGCCAGGCAACAGGCCCATCACAGCTCCCATGACTTCTTCTTGTCAATGGGTCACCTGAGCTATCACTCACTGGAAGGGCAGAAAACGAGCTGGGTTTTGCTAAACTTAAAACTACATCTGGTCCTTCTACAGACACACACACACACACACACGGCTCCTGGGAAGGGGGTGGGTGGGCGCGGCTCTGATCGGTCTCTGCAAAAAAGAATGCCCCCCAGAGGCCAGCAGCTACGCTGTCCAGGGCTGCCAGAAAAACAGGCACACACCCTCAGAAGGACCGCTGGTAATTCCGATGTGGCTTCACTGTTTTATTCAATTGTGTGCATTACTTGAAAAGTACCCGGCATTCC